ATTGAACATTGAGAGCAATACAAACCTTTCTTGTTTATTTTACCCTCGATGTATTCATGGTCATTCAAGGATTGGAGAAATGCAGAACTGGATGATCAAACCAACAAAAATGGTCAATTTAGTTGGAAAACGACATTAACTGGAATTCAGAACACTCTGACTTTGCTGGTCTTTATAGCTTTAATGAGAATGCATAAATGATGACATGTTTAAGTTTAATCTAAAACTTGTTTTACCTGGAGAAAAAAGCTCCTTTAGAAATGTATCAACTTCCTTCTGAAAAGAGAAGAGCCTAAAAAGGAAGACGACATTCAAGATTATCAAACTAAAGATAAGACGACAGTCACGAAATTCCAACAGAAAGAACTGAGTATTTTAGCTAGCCTCGGATCCCAGTCTAACGACATTTGGCCTTCTTTAAGGTAACTTGTCAATTCTTAGCATATATTAATTAATTTCATAAATCCAAAATGAAAGTTAAAATAGTTATAGTAATTAGGTTTTCTCCTGAAGGTGTAAAACCTGAATACCAAAGAACGGTACCTCCTCCTACTGATCTGAATTAATGCTACTGCTGCCCCCACCAACAGAAAATAACACTAAAGATCGATTAAAATGATAGAAATGATATACAGGGTGTCCCAAAAACATGGGAATTTAGTGACCAATTCGATATCGTCTTTTTAAATAATTCTTTGATTTAGTATAGTGATACCTAATGAGAAAGCTGTAATCTGTAAGAGTTTCGTCTGCTATGTTTTCAATTTGTTTGTTTATGTTTTGACTGCATACGGTTGTACTTAGTAAAACTAGAAAATTGCAGTATAAAAACAGAGTAAACTTGTCCGTCTTCACTGTTCATCGTGCGGAGACATTATAGACACATCTTTACAGTCTTTTACCGTTTTCATAAAATAAACTCTAGCAGACATAATAATCTTTTGAAATTAGGTATTACAATGCTAATTCATAACAAAGACGATATCGAAGTCGTCACTGAATTCCCATGTTTTTTGGGACACCCTGTAGTTACTGTTAATATCAAAAATATTTTAAAAAAAGAATTTTTTTATACACATGGTTATTCAACACTTTTTTCCATACACTGCAGATATTTAGTAGTCTCAAATATGATTTTAATAAAATGAACATTTATGTTCATTAGTGAGAGGGAAAAACGCGTCATTTTAATAATTGTAATTACTTATTTTTCCTTTGGTACAGAACACGTTTTTTTGAACATATGCTAATAGTAACTTGGATTAGATAAAGTACTAATTTAATAACTAATTTTATAAAAAAAAAAACGGTAAACGGTAAAAGGGCCATTTTAAAGGCAACTGGAGAAATCGAGTTTCGAATGTCGTCTTCCTTGAAAAAAATGTTAAAATAAAATCTTCAATAGTTTCATGTGTAATGCCTTTAATGACTTGATCGCTTTATATATGCTCCCCCCCCCCCTCCAAGCATTGGGAGAAGGGGGGAAGCACCCTTCGGTTTCCTCACCCCTATTGTTTTGGAAATAGTTCATTTGCAAATTGGAAAAACCCATACCAATATTTTAGAACTAGAGGAAAAATAATTCTTGGTTCATATCTTTCACGACCTTAAACTCTTTAATATGACAATCTACAAACTTATTTTGATAGAGACTGTAAATTCTATACTAATTTGTCTATAAAACAACAGAGGCGATTTCAGGAAGGAGATACGGGGGCTTATCCCCCCCCCCTCTAGATCAGTGAAATCTACATGGGTTCCATGACGTTTTTGGGTCTCAACGGGTGATAAGCCCCCACTAAGAAGAAAAAAGCATAGCATAACATATTCTTAAATACGGCCCTGTTTTAACAGACGATTCTGTCTCCATTATCCCTAATCAGGCTAAAGTCTCCATTATCCCATATTAGGCTAAAGTCTCCATTATCCCTAATCAGGCTAAAGTCTCCATTACCCAAAAAAGTCTATTTCCTTGTGCTGATTCAAAATTGTAATATTTGAAACATTTTTTGGAAAGCAATCGGGCTCTAGTTTAATAATCAGCAATTTATTTTAGCAAAATTGCGAAATTTCAAACAGTTTTTGCAAAATCCAGTTTTTTAATTAAAAATGAGCAAAAACAAAAAGTACTTGTTCTATAATAAAGAATACAATTCTGAAAAGCCCTTGACCCAGCGAATTCTGTTATGCAAATATTTGCAAAATCATGAAAACTAAATATTTAGTCCCTAGAATAAACATTTAACTGTGTATTCAAGGAAAACTGAAATATTCCATTAAAAACCATTAACAAACAGTTTGAAAACACTAAATGTGTATTCAAGGAAAACTGAAATATTCCATTAAAAACCATTAACAAACAGTTTGAAAACACTAAATGTGTATTCAAGGAAAACTGAAATATTCCATAAAAAACCATTAACAAACAGTTTAAAAACTAAATGTGTATTCAAGGAAAACTGAAACATTCCAATAAAAAACATTAACAAACAGTTTTAAAAACACTAAATGTGTATTCAAGCAAAACTAAAATATTCCATTTAGAACCATTTACAAACAGTTTCAGAACACTAAATGTGTATTCAAGAAAAACTGAAATATTCCATTAAAAACCATTAACAAACAGTTTGAAACACTAAATGTGTATTCAAGGAAAACTGAAATATTCCATAAAAAA